CTCTTATAAAAAAAAAAAAATCTAGTTTCTTTCTCCTTTATCACCTGGACTCCAAATAGAACCAGCAGATGTATCCCCCCCACCCTGCACATACACACGTCATACACAAGAACAGCTAGGTTGGGAACTAAGGGTCAGACAATACCTACTCTTGAAACCTAAAGTACCCAGGCACAGTGAAAACTATGAGATAAGCCAACACGCCCCAAATCCACAGAAAATGTATAGAAAGAATAGCTGGCAGCAAAGGACAAGCAGGGCCAAAGGACACCCACACCATGAGCCTAAATGATGTAAGATTCTTGTGACCATTAACCACTAACCACTACTTCTTTGTAAAGCCTTATAAAAACCTGTGTGAGGTAAGAGACAGGAACCCTAAAAATACAGTTAGGATATAGGCCCAAAATAGAATCACAAAATGGCTAAGTTTTTTTTGTTTGTTTTGGGTTTTTTTTTTTTTTTTTGGAGAGGTTTTTGCTATAGGGCGCGTGTGCTCGCCAGAAAGACAGAGAAAGAGACAGAGAGACAAAAAGCGAGAAATCAATCCCCAGGGGGGATGGCCACGCCACAATCCCTTCTCCTCCATTCTCCTCTCGGGATCTTGGACACGCACACACATGCCCTGCGTGACTTTAAGCCACTGGGTCCAGAACTCGAACCACAGTCGACTACATGGGATTCCAGTGACATATCCATTACGCCAACTGCTGGTCCCTAGAATGGCTAAGATTTAAGATGGAGGCACAACAGCTCAGCAGCAGCACAAGAAACAGTGTGCAGCAGTGACTTAATGACTGACCTAAAACAAAGGCTTTTGTCCTGGTCCCACCACATTCCAGGAATGAGGTAACAATCTTTTATGGCCCAAAGCTTTTGGACAAACGAGAGTCTCCTATCCTTCTTACCCACTGCAAAATTAAGAAAAATAATAGGACCCACCTAGCATGTGACCCCCACACGAGGGGAAGACATGCACAAGCCCCTCCTGAGAACAAGCCTGGACAAAGCCCCCTTCTGACCAGACAAAAACCCTCTCACCTCAGTTCCTCTTCAGCAACCCATTCAAGATCCTTCCCTGTCCAGGTGTTCTGTTCCTCTTCCTCTCTCTTTACTCTGCTTTACTATGCCTTTCCTATGTCCGTGTCTCTTAATTCTTTGTGAGTGTGAGACAAAGGATAAGGTTCACTGCTGTTCTTGCGTTGGGTATTGGGCCCACACTCCCCAACGTCTGGTGCCAAAATGTCTGTCCAGCACTCACTCACATTTTATAAGTCTGTGATTTCACCAAAGATACTGAACTTCCTGGAAAAGCAAAACTATTATTTATTGGGTCATTTAATCACTCCAGTTTCTACTGATCTCTTCCTTGTTGTTTTTGTTTGCCCACTTACAGTATTTTTATATTGTAAAATTAGCACCTTACTAATGACTGCCTTGCACTAATACAAAGGGGATTTGGGGGGCCAGAAGGTGGCATGGTGGTTAAGGCACTGGACTCTCGCAGGACAGACCGTGTTTGAGTCCTGGACCTAGACCTAGTGGCTTGCTTTCTCTCTCTCTCTCTCTCTCTCTCTCTCTCTCTCTCATGAATGCATGTGCCTATAGCAAATTTTAAAAATAATAATAAATAACATTAAATAAATAAAAACATACAAAAGGGACTTCATAAAGTTTGTGAGAATATGGAATTAAAGTGTGAGTTCATTTTGGTGCAAAACATATTGAAATCCATGCATAGTTTTTCCTAGTATGCATTTTACAGGAACTTTGTGAAGACACCCCCCATACTTTATGATATTTCTGTATGTACAGACACCCCTACGCAGTCTCGCCTTCTGGATGTTTTCTGTGTCTTGCCTCACCACAGTGGCAAAGGATGAGTCATTTGGTCTACTGTATCTTCTAGCACTTAGCACATATCAGCCTAAAGCAAAAAGTAGAAAGTAAACAAAGGGAAACACTACAACCTCAATACTCAGGCCCTAGGAGGGACTTATTTTCAAAGGCATCATGAAGGAATGTGAGCTGACGTGGGATTTCAAGTGAAAGAAAAAACGATGAGAGTGCCTCGCTGCACTCCAGGAGCTAACTGCGAGGCAGACCGCGGCGGTGCCCAACTTTTCTGGCACTAGGGAATGGTTTCAAGGAAGACATTTTTTCCATGGACCAAGGCAGGGCAGATAGTTCCAGGATGATTCAAGGGCATTACTTTTATTATGTATTTTATGTTTATTATTACTATGTTGTAATAATAAGGCGAAGGACCAGCCCATGTTCCAGAGGTGGGAGACCCCTGCCAAAATGTATCACAAGCTTGGTGTTGATCTTCCTCTGGCCCAAGAGGCAGAAGCCACCAATTCCTTTGGCATTTGTCTACTTAGCAGGTGACCCTGAAACCACCAGCTTCGCAGGGCAAGAGCCACTCCGCCTTGTCCGTCTCTGGATCATTAGCACCCAGCAGAGTGCTGGCATCCGTGGGTGCTCAATAAATAGCTGTCGAATGAATAAAACTGGGCAAGTCACCTAATATGCCTCCTTACTCTTCTCATTCACAAAATGAAAATAACAACTGCCCCACCTGTCTCACATGATTAGAATGACAAACAGATAGAATTTGAATTTGGATATTATCAAGTCTCACACAAAGGCGTTTTAATACCAGCCCATCTCCTACGCAGGTTTACATGACGGGCCAATCAACATCAAACAGTCAGTCTCCCCTTCTTAGGTTCATGCTTTCCTTGCTGGCAGAAGGACTGTCAGTTTTTTTTTTTTTTTCTTTTTTCTCTAATTTATTTATTTCTTCCATGAGTGAGAGAGTCAAACAGAGGAACAGGGAGACTGCACCCCTGATAGGCTCTTGACACCACAATCCATCCTAGCTTCAGCCAACCCCAGATCATGGGCACTCACAGATGAGTACACTGGGCACAGAGAGGGGGGCGGAGCACTCAGTGTACTCGCATCTCCGGATGTGAATTCAGACTTCCCCACACGGGTCCGACTCCCAGAGCACTGCGTTTTACTGTTCCACCCCTGTCTGCCCAGTACTCGAAGTCTTAAAGACTCTCTGACTCACAAATGGATGTGCTTCCCCCAATGGAAGACAGAGCCAAAAACCTGGTTGAAGTTCTGGAGTTAAGTCTCAGGTTAGGAAATAAATGAGCTAAGAGTCTACCAACAAGGAAGAGAGAGGGAGGGAGGAGAGAGAGAAAGAAAGAAAAGAGAGAAAGATTTTGAGTCATAGAGTAAAACAGGAAGGAACAGCTGCATCATCTGGTTAGATGTTTAATGACCATACCCAGGCAGGGCACCATCTGGCATGCTTCCTAGGAGGCACTCCGGGAGGTAGGATAAAAACAAATAAAAGAATACCAATCCTGGACATTGCTCCTATAATTAAATAATCCCGTACCAAGCCTCATCTTCTTGGCTCTATCAACCACGTGATTGGTGACATCAAGAAGACCTGGAGTCACATCATAAAAAGTTTCCTTTGGAGATCTGCAACACTATCCCATGGGATCAAACCTTCCAAGGGACAGAGGCTGTGACCAGCACTTAGTCAGGATCTTGGGAAATTATAATGGCCCATAGAGGATGAAAACTAGAAAAAGTACATGAAACATAGAGAAGAAAACCCCATGCTTTTAAATTGTGTTTTGGTTCATTATTTTATTCTATTGCATTCGGCAGATTAATACAGCGGTGCGCCAATTACTTCAATAACGACATCTCATTGAATTCTCACGATCCTGCAAGGTAAGTATCATTATTCTTATTTTCTTTTCAGAAGAGTATTGTGGAACTAAAAGAGATGAGATGATTTGTAAGGTTTAAGCCCAAGTCAGCGGACCCTAGATCCTACCACACACGCTGCACTATGCCACGCTGTGTAGGAAGATTTTTTTTTTTTTAAACAGGAAATGGTGGAAGGAACTCTTTCCAATGTAGCCGCAAGGTTTGGGATGCCTGTTGAGAGTCCGGTCTGGCGGGCTTGACAGAGGGTGCCCAACAGCTCACTGACTAAATGCTTCTAGATAGAAAGAGAAACGGCCTTAGGAAGCACATCCTCCATTTTTGCTCTTTCATTTATTAAGACGATGCTAGGGGGCAGCCATGGTAGCACAGCACAGCGCTGAGATGCTGGACCATGTGGAAGATTGGGCTTCAGTTCCCTGGAGAACTTACACATGACATGCCAGGCACACGTTCAAGGGCTGGGAGGAGGACTGTGGTATGGCCCCTGTTGAGCCTGCCTGGTTTTTTCTCTGTCCTCCCTTTCTCTCAGGGAAGAAAGAAAGATAGAAAAAAAGAAAAAACAGAAAGCTTTAAAAAGTAATAATAACAATGCTGGGGCCCAGCCAGGAGGATGAGCTGCTAAGATGCTGTGCTCACAGGCTGGACCATGTGGGAGGCCCAGGTTAGGTTCTCAGTCGGACCTAAAGGCTGGGTGTGGTGTCGTGCCCTTCTAATCCCAGCAGCCCGGAAGGCTGAGGCGAGAGAACTGCCAGCTCAAGGCTGGCCTGGGTAATAAGCAAGACCTTGTCTAAAAAAGAGCCAGGTGTGGTGGCTGTCTGCCAGCTGTCACCCCAGCTTAGATGCTGAGGCAGGCAGATCACGACAATGGGGAGAGCTGGGGAGGGGGAAGAGGAGAAAGGAGGAGAGAAGAGAAGATAAGGAGAGGCAAGGTGAGGGGAGGAGAGGAGAGGAGAGAAGGGAAGAGGAGTCTGACCTCCTATCACCCAGACAGTGACAGGGCCTGAAATTCTTTTTTTTTCAATAATTATTTATTTTATTTTATTTATTCATTCATTTATTTTTTTAATTTGACCAGAGAGAGACAAAGGTTGAGAGTGAGAGAGAGAGAGGAAGTGAGAAAGCAAGCCCCCAGATTCAAGACTCGAACCCCTGGTCAGTCATGTGGGAGTGTCCAGCACCTTAATCACCACGCCACCTGCTGGTCCCAGAGCCTGAAATTCCGACCCCCCAGTTACCTGGATTTCATCTCCAGTGATCATGTCCCAGGAGCCATAGTGACCCTTCTCCTGCCGGAAGAATTGCACAGCCTCTAAAAATGCTTGGGCTTCAAACGTCGTCTGCTTCATATAATCTAAAGCAAAGAAAAGGGGACAGTTAGTGAAGTACAATGCTCTGCTTTCCATTTTCCACGGCTCCTTAAGTGTGATGGTCCGGACACCTAGCGTTACGGGCCATGGAGTTATGAGAGGCAGGTAAGGGAAAGCAGAGTTCAGAGTTCATCTGCAGACGTGCGTCACCACCCCAGCTCATCAAGCCCATCAGTTACTGAGCACAGTAGGTAGCTCTGGAAGGACCAGCTCCTTTTCTCTTTCTTGTGAATGCTTCTCTAGTCACCTCCGGCACTTAGTGACATTTTTTTGGGTCACAGAGTACTTGTGTTCACTAGAGAGACCGTGAGAGGGAAAGTGAGAAATCACCCCCCAATGGGGATGACCACATCATAGTCCCCTGTCCTCCACTCTCCTCTCAGGAATTTGGGCACACACGCACATGCACTCAGCGCATTTTTCAAGCCCCCAGGTCTGGGATTCGAACCATGCAGACGGCCATGTGGGATCCAGTGCCTTAACCACCATGCCAGCTTCTCCATGTACCCAGTGACTTGATGCTACCAACAGTAATGCCTCATTCATGCGGGTCATCCTTCACAGTGACTGTGTCCACCTCCATTCCCACAATTCCCTCTGACCTGATGTCAGCTTTGGGCAAAAGGATATCAATACTCACACGCTAGTTTATGCAAACTGCAGGCAATCGTTCCTAACAAGATAGCAGGAAACTGTTCATCTAGCACTTCACATATTTCACTGAAACCCGACGAGAGCTTTGAGCGGAGCATTAGCATTCCCATTTTACAGATGAGGAGACCGAAGCACAGAAAAATAAACTATTGCTACTTGCCTAGAATCACACAGCTCAGAGCGTGAGCTCAGGCAGTCTGACTTCAGAGCGGGCACCCCCCATTTCACTGCACTGCCCCCCACATAATTTACAGGCTTGTCCTTCCAAACAAAGCTGTGGCATCTGAGACGAATACCCCACCATGGAGAAACGAATATCTAATGGTAGGATTTGAGGTGTACTGCTGAAGGGAGGCGGGAGTTATACGGCCCCAGAATTCCACAAATCATGCCCTGCATGCACGTGCTTCATTTCTAACCCAGAACATTAGCTCCTGGGGGACACAGTGACAAGCAGATTGTAGAAATTAAAGTGGGGAGATGAACTTTAGAAATAATCTGATTGGACAATAAAGAAATCAAGTTTCGGGGCCAGCAGATGGTGTAGTGGTTACATTGTTGGGCTCCCACATGGCCGACCGCAGCTCCACTCCTGGGCCAGGTGGCTTCAACATCATGCCAGGTGCATATGCGTGCGTGCCCAAGATCCCAGGCAGAAAGAATGGAGGAGAAGGGATTGAGGCGTGGCCATCCTCGGGAGGGAGGGGTGATTTCTCACTTTCCCTCTCACTGTCTCTGTCTCTCTCTCTCTCTCTCTCCCCCCAGTGAGTGCACATGCTCTAACACAAAAATCACTAAAAAAAAACAAAAAAAATTTGTAAAGAGGAACTAATGAGGGTGAAGCAAAGGAGTGAAAGGGCCAAGTTTCCCACCTCTCTCCCTAAAGGGCACGGAGTTCTCTTGTCAATGGCAAACGACCTGCATTTTTCAGGTCACTCGGAAGGCGGCTGATTCACGGTGCCATCACAGCTTTAGACGACAGGATGAGTCAGGGACTGACTGGTCGGTCCGTACAGGGGGCTGAACAGAGCTGAAAGAGGACCCATCTGCTCTGATCAAATAATATTGGGTGGTTGGAAAAGTCATGATGTATTTTCTATGCAAAAAAAAAAAGCATCATGACTTTTCCGACGACCCAATGGTTTGGAGATGACACTTTAGTTTAGTTTACTAGAACGTAAGCCTCAGGAACTTGGAAAAGAAAAAAAATACAATCCCAAGCAACAAAAATAAAAGTTAAGCAAAATTCTTTACAGTGAGCACACCATGAAGCCCAGAAGCTCCACCTTGAAAACAATGTGGGCCATTTCTAACATCAACATGGAGATGGGTCAAAATCTACCCCAGAAAAAGGGCCTATCCCAAGAATCAAGTTTTGAGACTGAACTTTTTTTTTCTTTTTTTTTTTGGTCATTTTTCTTGGCTTAGTAACTGGTTTCATGTTTAATCCTAGAGGTTTGGAAAACAAAAATTAAGGTCTTGCTACAAAATTGACACCACCACTGGTAGCGTCGTCCCCACAAGGGGCTCGTGATATGAGGCTAGCACATGGGAGGGACCTTACCAACAGAGATGTATTTTCTATGCAAAAAAAAAAAGCATCATGACTTTTCCGACGACCCAATGGTTTGGAGATGACACTTTAGTTTAGTTTACTAGAACGTAAGCCTCAGGAACTTGGAAAAGAAAAAAAATACAATCCCAAGCAACAAAAATAAAAGTTAAGCAAAATTCTTTACAGTGAGCACACCATGAAGCCCAGAAGCTCCACCTTGAAAACAATGTGGGCCATTTCTAACATCAACATGGAGATGGGTCAAAATCTACCCCAGAAAAAGGGCCTATCCCAAGAATCAAGTTTTGAGACTGAACTTTTTTTTTCTTTTTTTTTTTGGTCATTTTTCTTGGCTTAGTAACTGGTTTCATGTTTAATCCTAGAGGTTTGGAAAACAAAAATTAAGGTCTTGCTACAAAATTGACACCACCACTGGTAGCGTCGTCCCCACAAGGGGCTCGTGATATGAGGCTAGCACATGGGAGGGACCTTACCAACAGAGATGGAAACTGTAATTACTACCTTGGGATTCCAGATTGACTCATGTGCTCTTATTTTTAACAGCTGTTTTCATTTCCAGCCTAAGGAAACAAAGAGACGGAAGAAAATGTGGTACTGTATTTGGCTGCAGTGAGGCGGGCCAGAGCACGAGCCAGGGAATGAAGTTTTAAATTCTTTGAGTCTTTACAAGAAGTATACGTTTACTTATTCTTCCTCAGCTGACCTCAGTAACAGCAGGAGGTGTTTAGAATCCTGTCCATCACCTTCCCTGTCTATGTCAAATAAATGATCACACTCCCACTGATGGCTGCATTTGCAAAGATCTTTAGCAAAAATAACCAAAGAAATGAGATTTGGAAACAATGACGTGAGCATCAGAGAGAGATGGAAAGAAGAGCAGGAGGAGAGCCAGAATGAGATCGTGGTAGAAGAGAGGCACTGCTAGGCAGAGAAGGGGGCCAGCAGGTGGCACAATGGTTAAGGCACGGGACTCCCACATGGCCAATCGCAGGTTTGAGTCCTGGACCGGGCAACTTGAAACTCACACCAGGCATGCATGTGTGCATGTGTGCCCAAAATTCTGAGAGGAGAATGGAGGAGAAATGATGGCAGCATGGCCATCCCCTCCTGGGGGTGATTTCTCATCTCTGTGTCTCCTCATTACCTTAAGACAGACTTAATACATTAATAGATTTTAGCTACTCCCTTTTGCTAAAGAAAAAGGACCTAATATACTGGGTCATCATGAGATTTTTAGCTTATAAACTGATTAAATAAGTAATTTATATAAAACTTTCAAACCAATCTGCCACACAGTAAATTACTTCCTGAATATTTGTTCTTATGATTATAAGCAACTGCCAGATCATTAAGCAAATACAACACCAAGGTTTGCTTTGTCAGAGACGGAATCACACTGCACTGGTAATATGATCTTCGTTTCTTCTAAGTTGTTTGCAAAGGCATTGCTGAACTCCGTCAGAACATACAGGTGTTGGAGAGGAAGCAGATCATCAGTTATTTGATCAACTTCCTGCCATGGATCTCATGGGAAGAAATTCCTGCTTCACTATCACCTGCTCTCCTGACAACAAGCACATCGAGAGTTTAGCTCCCCGGCTCCTAGAATTAAAAAGTGGTTTTTCGCCTTTAGGTCTTCTCCCTGCAAGGAGGCCCAGAGATAGGACAGGTATCAGCCAGACTCAGCTGTCCCAGGATGCTGGAGTTACGACGTGTCCAAGGAGACAGATGTGCTGGGAAACAACTCAGACGTCATTCAGTTCAGCTTTCTCATTTTATGGATGAGGAAACTCAAGGAAGAAATGGTTACTTTCGTAGCTGAAGGTCACACAGCTGGTCAGTATCGGAGCCAAGAGTTGAAAAAGTGGTTCTGGCACGTCACACACAGCCTTGGCATTCAGACGTGCTTAAATCATAGACTATGACAGTTGGGAGTGACCTTAAAGGTCACCTACCCCAGTTCTCATTCAACGTTGGGAACCTTCGGAATCTGAGACAGATCTTGTGAGACCTCGGCTTGAATGTTTCCAGCAACGGGAAACTCACAATTTAATGAAATAGTTCTTTCCATCACTAAACTGCTCTAATTATTTGAAAAATGTTCCTCCTTTCTAGCCAGTCTGTTTCCGTGACCTCTCTTGTTAATCCTATTTCTCTCCTTTGGGGCAAAATAGATGAAATTTGTTCCTTTTCCCTGTGGTAACTATAAAAAATGGTAATTAGCTAAATATCCTGGTTTTCCTTCCAATTTTCTTTAGACAACAGAGTTTGGGGATCTTTGTAATTTGGCCTTCCCTTTCCCTTCCCTCTTCAGCAATCCATTCTCATTTAGCAATACCGATTTTCTTAAGCTTGTTCATTTACTTCGTCCGTGAGAGAGATACAGAGAGAAATGCACCCCAGCGGACTCCAACCTGATGCCACGACCCACTGCAGCCTCCGGTCAGGGCACTCCCGGAGTACTCAGGGGTCTCTGGATGAGAACCAGGAACCTCTTCACGTAGGTCAGCCTTGCAGAGCACTGTTACCACCATCAGGGCCCCTGTCATGATCTTTCCATGTTTTTTTTCTGTTTCTTCCTTGTGTATGTGTGTGCATGCGTGTGTGTGTGGGTGTGTGCATGTGTGTGCGTGCACACGCTAGCAGATGCATGCACTTGCCAGAGAGAGAAGAAAAGTGAGATGCCCCTGCAGTGGTACGTGCTCACGTCGCAATCCCTTCTCCTCCATCTCGCCCTCCTGTAGGGATTTGGGG